GGGATCGAGCCCCACATCGGGCTCCCTGCTCAGCGGGAAGCCTGCTTCTCCCTGCTTCTCCCTCTCCCACTCCCCCTGGCTGTGTTCCTCTCTCGCTGTGTCTCTGTCAAAATAAATAAATAAAATCTTTTTAAAAAAATTAAGCTAACTACTTCATACCTTAATCCAAATTTTGAACGGAGACCGATCCTCAGTCTCTACCTCCAAGATAACGCAAGACTTGCACTGAAACAAACAGTACTGAGAGACAGGAACTGACATCCTTTTGGGTCCATAAACATAAGTTACTTTATTACACTTCGTCCCATCAGAACGCAGATCGAAGTCACTTCTTACGAGGACATGGCAGGTATTGCACACCTTGACCTAAGCATGACCCGCAGGTCGAAGCAGCAGCGCTGAGGACACAGCACTGGGAGCTCCGTGTCCCAGGACGAGCGCAGGCCGGGCGCCTCCACGACCCATAAACACATGTTTTTTGCAAACACGTCAAAGGGGCTTTCAATAAAAAACAAACTTTTAATTTTAACTGCACGGTCATGGCCAGAATAAAATGTGCGCGTGGGTCTCCCCCACAGCCCACGTTGTGAGCTGAAATGACCCCCGCTTTCCTAAAGTTTGTGCTGCAACACTTTGCAGACCCACTCTGTGCCTGTTTTCGCCGCCTGACGGAAACCCACGGGGCCTCCCTTCCGGCAGGGAGGCGCTGCTGTGGGGACGCAGGTCTCTGGTAAAGGCGGACAGGCCGCAGGGAGCTTTCAGAAGCGGGGCTGCCCGTGTCTCCCGGCACACGAGCCAGGCTGCTGGGACCTCCACCGGGCGCGGCGTGGCGAAGGCGACCGCCTCGGGAGGCACCGCCAGGCGCCCAGCAAGGGCTGCCGTGGAGTGAGCCACGACCGCGGGCCCTGCCGTCCAGCCCCTCGACGCCCGGGGGAAAGCGACCACTGCTCGGCCTTGACACCCACAGACGCACCAGCCACGGAGCAAGGGTCCGGATGGGAAGCCCAACGGCAACTCGGTCTATTCAGAACGGTTCTACGGTCCAGACAAATCCGATTACCAAACGTCTCCCGTGTTTTGCCGAGTGAGCCACAGAGCATGAATACATACTGCTTGTTTTCTCACGGATCCCGTGACCCACAAGCCTCACGGGCCCTGCTGTCGTGCATGCTCCCGTCAGGCGGGGTCCGGTCCCAGGCGGCGGCTCCTGCCCGTGGTCCCCACGCGCCCTGGACGCACGTGTGCACAGTGGGCTGCACGCTTCACGCAGGACGCTCTAACGAGGGGCACGAACGGGGCACCCAGCTCGGGGCAGTTCTCTCCAACTAAGCGGGACACCACGACCGGACAGGACACACGGCACGCGGACCGTGTGACCAGAGAGACCACGCGGGCGGCCACAGCGCCACGTCAAGCCCTCCCAGACAGGTGGCCCGGCCTCCACCACCGATGCCCTCCTTGGTGCCGATCAGGGCCCCGCATAGGTAGGCGCGCAGGAACAAACCACAGCAGACAATGGAGTTATGACGGCAAAAATCCAGCCCCGGAGGCAAACCGAAGCTTTAAAAACACTTTGTGGCTACGTGGAAATTAACATGAACGACACAGCTGGTCCGACTTGGAGACAGTGCTGGACTCGGAGCCCGTGTCTACCTGAGCCCGTGCGGAGAACGCCGGCGGGGCCCGGGGCCAGGGGCCGCACGCTGCAGTCCGGGCCCCCAGCGGCTACTGCCCCTTCTTGGGCGGCACCTGGCCGTTGGCCCCGGTGGGCCGGCTGCTTCTGGGCGCCGGCTGCGCAAAGTTCCAATCCTCCGGGTGGAGCAGCTGCTGAGTCTTCTTGTGGGTCCAGTAGGGATTGAGGATGAGCGTGAGGAGGCTCAGTCCGACGAGGAAGAGCGCCAGGTGCAGCAGGTGGAGGCTGCTGAGCAGCCCGTCCCAGTGCCGGAAGCACACCCACCACATGTGATAGGTCAGCACCATTCGGCAGTGGAACATGTGAACCATCAGCCACTGGTTCAGCTTCCAGAACAGCGAGTCGGACCAGCCGGCCTGTGGACAGAACAGAAGCCAGTCAGTGCACTCTGCACGCAAAGGGTCCACCAGCCCAACACATCCCCGCAGACGCACGCACACTCCCCCCTGCCTGGGGCTTCTTGCGGGAAGGAGCCGCCCGCCGACTGAGCACCGCGCAGACAGCGGGGCCCCTTCCTCACCCATCCCTTCTCCTCCTTCTGGCAGTTTCTCCCACGAGCAAAATCCAGTCTTCTCTTCAATCTCACGTTTAACCTTGAGCTCACACATACCGACCGACAGATCGAGCTCCCGTCTGGCAGCCCTGGGACAAGAATCTCCGAGAGGAGAGACGCTGAGGATGACACACATTTCCTGCTTGGAGTTTCAGTACTTTTATCCCAGGAGCCCATGGACACAGGCAGAGACGGACTTTCCTTAAAACAACTCTAAATTCACACTAAGCTAGTTTCCAAGAGTCACAGCCAAAACTGAACAGAGAACTTGAAGATGGTCCATCAGATCGTGGACGCCAAGGTGGGACCTCACCAGCACCAGGACATCTGGCCCCAGGACATCCAGCACGGGGAGGGCCAGCACCACATTCCAGCACCCCTCAGACCTCCCACATGCCAGCCTCTCCAACCTTGTCTCTGCTGAACCGAAGCCACAAAATCCTCCTCAGGAGCTCCATGCCGAGGTGGCCCCCAGGGTGACAGTGGGGTCCTGCGCTTGCAGAAGGGAACTCTGAGCGGGCAGCAGAACGCGGCCTCGGGAGAGGGAACGGTTCTACTTGAGCTACGTCCACCCAGTCCCGATGGGGACGCAGCAAACCAACCCCTGAATGTTTTTAAACAACAAGGAAGGAATCTTAATCTCTCATGGCATAAAAATGTGTCCACACAGCTCTGACACAGGAGAACGAGAATCCACGGAATTGATGACTCAGGAAAAATAAACTGAGAAAAACAAGGAACTTCCCTGTTGTCTGAAAAACTGAACTTACCCCAAAATAACTTCACAACAACTCTGCAGGGTCTACGACTTTTAGAGCAGACGTACCCATGCATGCTTTTTTCTACTGATAATTCAGTTAGTGAAATAACACCCCACAGAAGCACCCTATTTATGCGGGCAGAGTTTGAACACAAGCATGGACGTGAAGCGAGGAGACGGAAGGCCCACAGAAGGGCCCCTGGAGGCTCTAACAGCTCCCTCTCCGGGCACGTGGGTTCTCGGGCCTCTCGCGGGCAGCCTCCCTGGCGGAGTCTGTAGGGATGGACGCTGCCCGGCTCATGCAGCATGCCACCTCCAGACCCCGCGGGCAGCTTTTCACAGACTCACCAAGCACTTCGTTTGCTCCCACCCTGGGTTTGGTGCCACTCAAGGTGGACCGTAGCCACATGCTTCCCGTGGACCCCACGCTGCTGGAGCAACAAGCACGCAGGAGTGAGAGCCAAGGCACAAACCCGAAACAAGTGTAACACCTCCACACTAAAGGGGCCCGAGACACAGATGGGGAGAAGCTGAGACCAGATCTGTGTTCGCCGGTCCTGACGGCCACGTGACAGAAGGATAAAACCAAATACGCCTGCTAACTTTTCTGTAAAATCAGAGGGCGAGGCTATAGTTCTCGGAGGCTCCTGCCCGAAGGAGAAGCCACGACCGCCGTCAGCCCCCCATCAGCAGGAACCAGGTGCCCCAGCACTCGGGCGTGCCCCAGTCTGGTGAGAAACCGTGTGGCCTCTGCCAAGTGGTCCCATCACCAGGCCCAGAGGCGGCGATGGACAGCACTCAGATTGCCACAGGTGTTCATGTACCCTCCTCCAACACCCACTGCAGTACTGGGTGCAGCCTGGACGCACACGGGGGGTGGGGACACACGATCCCAGCTGCATGGACCCTGCTCCCTTGTGCGAGCTTCTCTGGACTTGGCCACACTGTTTCCCAAGGGAACAAAGCACACATCTGCCCCGCGCGGCCTCCGCCTCTAGAGCTCGGCCCGTCGTCCGCGTTTCCTCCCCAGTCCCCGCCTGCAACTGGCAGGGCGCCCGATTACCACCAATGAGCGCATGCATCTTCTGTGGGGTCGTAGGAGTAGGCCACAGGTACACCTTTCTCAAGCACAGAAACACGGGAGGTTTGACGTTTCCAAAGTCAGATCGCTCCTGTGGAAGAGATCAGGCTTCGAGAGTACGAACTGCGGGGACACGGGAGCAGAGCGGAGCACACCTCAACGCCACCGCCCCCCACCCCTCCTTCGCACTTAGCAGCACGGACTCCGTCCCACTTTGCCATTCCCTCCAAAATTCACAGAACAAAGGGCTCTTCCCCATTATTCCCCCCACTGCTAAAAGTGGCCTTCTTAAATTATTAATGTTCGTATCACAAATATGAACTTTTACTCACAGAGTAATTATGTTCAGAAAGCTCGAAGCCTGAGAACTGAGCATTCTTCGGCATAACCCGGGTCACCTGGTGTCCAGCGTCACCACGTGCTCTGAGCAGGGACAGGGACAGCGTCGGTGACAGCATGTACAGAGCCGCTTTCTGCAGCACAGCATGGGGCAGGCGCACGGAAACCGACAGGCCTCATGCACACCCGGGCCAGTCGTTGTGGGTGAATTCTATCCCGAGGTTCGAGTCCTGTGCAATTCGTTTGTTAACTCTAACGTTTCAGAATCAGTCAGGAAGGAGATGCTAATAATAAGCTACTACTGGAGGCAGAGCCCGTCTTAAATCACGGTGATGTTTGCCGTCTTCAGGTACATCCCGTGCTATCTCAACAACTCAGACCTGGTGTTCTGGCAGATTCTTAAATCCGGATGCCCAACTACGCATGACTTTGGCAGCTTTACTGAAAGCTTAAAAGGATTTCAATACTGTAGGCAGCACTGACTTACGTTTAGTAGTATGTGAACGACAACACGGAACACTGACCTAAGCTACCTCGATTTGGGGTGCAGTTCTGCTGATGGGGTCTGCTGGCTTGGCAGAGTCAGGGTGCTAAGAAGTGAACGCACGGAGATCCCTTTCTCCATCCTGCACAAACAGCACCCAGCGAACTGCAGAGGCAGCAGAAAAATCCAAAACCAAGTCTCTCTCCCGAGCCCACCCACCGCTGGGAGTCTGCCTTCCTCCCGAGGATGCTGAGGACCAGAGGCTGGTGGCCACGCCGGGCCCAGACGGTGGAGACACAAGTCTGGAGAAATACACGTGAAGCCGTTCAACACTGATCACCACTATGGACTGGAAGGAGACAAGAAGATTTTCTTTCTTCTTCTTTTTTTAATGAAGTTCCAACAAAAAAATAACAAAAATTCCAGAAAACTAATCATCTGTTTTCTCAAACGTGGGCCTTACATCCCAGGCACGTCTGTCTTGTAGGTTTGGTGCAGGTCCCTGTTGACCACGGCGGTCCAGCCCATCCACGTGAGCGGGCTGCCCTGTGCGGGGGGCAGACGGGACAGGATGGCCGGACGGCAGCCCGTGTGTCCGGCACAGCCTCCGTCCACGGCTGACCACGACACTGGTGCTGTGCTCACGGCCACAGAATGCAGGGAAGTCTCAGCCCCTGCTCTCCAAACTCAGGAAGCCCCTCTCGTGGAGGGGACTTCCACAAGGAGAGAACTGAAAAGCCGCAGGGCATGCAGGACACACCGGCGGTGCCCGAGTCACGGCATCTTATCAAAACGACCCACCGCTGGACCAGCAGCCTCCATCATTTGGAGGTCGGCCGGCTTCACTCCTCCACTCCATTAACGATTTCCAGCCTTCCCCCAAATCACTGCTGCCTGAGGACCTCAACCGTCTGCAAACCCTGCATTCACGAAGCTCCCGGGCACTGAGCAGCGGCTACAGCTCCCCAGCCGGAGGGCCGGCGTTCACGGGCCAGCCCCGGCCCTCCCCGAGCTGCCCGGCCCGCCTGCTCGCCGCGGCACCTGTCCCCGTGCTCACACGTCCTCCTGCGGCACAAGGCGGGGGCAGCCCCGGGGGACCGCAGCAAGGCCAGACGCCGGCGTTTGCTACGTGTGAACGGTCTGCCCCACGAACACCGGTAACTCACTCCGATGTTCCCACACTGTCTACCCCAGGGGACCTGAAGGCACTGACGATTCTTCCTGCTTCTCGATTTTCTCCCGAAGCTACCACAGCGTTACAGAAGTGCTCAGGGCCCTGACCCATTTGTGGTGACTGCATCAGACATTTACGAAACAAAAAGCAGTATTTCATGTTTCACATAAAACATCCTGTGAACAGTGAGCCACAGAAGATGGCGAGAAATCTGTGCTAAAGACAGAATTCTCAAGAGTCTCACCTGAACATTTTGCTATCAAGATGGTATCCAGAAAACATACAGCTTCTAAAAATACTGTTTTACAAACAAAAAGGCAACAAATACTACACAAATAGTGATGGTAGGTCCCGACACCTCTGATCGGTAGAAAAACAACCTTATTCAGAAACACAAGCGTAAGACGACACGCAAGCTATGACAGACATCAGAAGACAGCGGACAGGAAGCCGGACCCACCCTCCCCGCAAACACCCGGATTCAGCACAATGCACACACAAAGCTCCTTTGTGAGAAATCAGAAACCCTGGGGAGGCCCCTGCATGCGGGGGAACGTGAGCTGCCCTCGCCATGGAAGGGAGGGACCCTCCAGCAGCACAGGGTCAGGAGGAGACCCCAGAAGAGGGAGGAGTTGCTACATGCGTCCAGCACCCCACCCTTTCCGAGGGGCTGGCGGAGGACTGGCCTCTGTCTGGTCGGTCCTGCAGGGTCCAGCTGCCGGGCCCCGGGGAGAAGAGAGGCGGTGGCTGGCCTGGCAGACCCCGTAGCTTCTGCCCCCGACTCCAGCTGCGCACGGAGGGAGCAGACTGCACAGCGGCCGACTTTCCCCCGGGGAGGGACAGAGCCGGCAGAGAGCCCCAGAATCTCTGGCCAGGCTGACCAGTGGGGTTGGCTCCCGGTGAGGACAGTGTGTGGAGCCTGGGAGAGGCGCTTGCTTTGTCTGACACACAGGCAGCAACAGCCTTGGGCAAGGGCAGGGTCGGGCAAAGGTGTTCCCAAGGTCAATCTCCAAAAGCAGACCCTAAGGGACTGGAGTTAAATGACGTATCTGACAGAGAAGGACCCGTAACTGTCACGAAGATGTGAGTCACCGGAGTCACGAGAACAATGCATGAACCAAATGAGAATTTCAACAGAAACAGAAAATATTCAAGAAAAAAAAAAAGTCCCAAAAGGAGATCAAGGAGCTGAGAACACTTAGTAAAGGAACTGAAAACTTGACTAGAAAGCTTTGCCAATGTGATCCCCAGTTCAACGCCATTCCTACCAAAATCACAATGGCACTCTTTGCAGAAATAGAAGAAACCATTCTAAAATTCACGGAAAACCACACAAGACCACAAACAGTCATTTGAGCCTTGAGAAAGAAGAACACGCGGAGGCACCACACTTCCTGATTTCAGACTATAATACGGAGCTACGCAAAACGGCATGGCACTGGTGGGAAGGCGGGCACAGAGCCCAGAGGCCGGAAGGAAATCCACCGCGGACGCTCAACTCGTCGACCACAGAAGGGCCAAGAACCTACAACGGGGAAAGGCCGTCCCTCCGACAGGTGGTGCTGGGAAGACTGGGCTGCATTCCTACATCAAACACAAAAGTCAGAGTGGGTTGAAGGCCCCAAAGCTAACAGTCCTGGAAGAAAACATGGGAAAAAGCTTCACGACTCCAGTCTCGGCAACGATTGCCCAGCTGTGACACCAAGAGCGCAGGCGACGGAGATGAAAATAAACTGCGACCGCGTGAAGCTAAGAACCTTCAGGGCAGAGGCACAAACACACGCCCCACAGTGGGGGGCGGGCGCCTGCAGACCGGTGACCAGCAGCAGACTACTCTCCAATGCAGATAAAGAGCTACAAGGCGCGAGTGGAAACAAAACTCTGATCCGAACATGGCTCAAGGCGGTGAACCGTTTTCGGGAGAAGACACGTACGTGGTCCACAGCTGCATGAAAGTGTGTAAGCTCGCTGATCACGAGGGAGAAGCAAACCAAAACCACATGAGACCGTTGCACACGGGTCACGATGGCGAGAATCAACAACATGCAGGAGACCAGTGTGGGCGAGCACATGGAGACACCGGGACCCTGGCACGGCGTCGCGGGAACGGAGAGGGGGTGGCCGCTGTGCAGAACAGCACGGAGGTTTTACCACGTCATCCAGTCATCCCACTGGTGAACGCTCTTCCAAAATAACCGAAATCAGGATCTCAAAGAGCTGGGAGCACCTCCATGCTCACTGCAGCGCTATTCGCAGCGGCTAAGATGCGCCCACGACCCAGGTGCCCACGACGGACCCACGGACACAGACAGCGTGGCGCCCACACACAACGCAAAACCCGTCTGCCTGAGAGGAGATTCTGCGGTGGGCCACGTGCGTGAGCCTTGTGGACACAACGCTCGGAGGAGTGAGCCTCCACTTATGTATCTAAAGTAGCCGAATTCACAGAACGGTGTGGGGCGGTGGCTGCCCGCAGCTGGAGGGAGAGGAGGCTGGAAGCTTCGGCAAGCACGGGGGGCAAACTCGAGGGCTTGGCCGTGACACGCCGTGCCTGTGGTCTGCGGTAACGTCCTGTCCACGTAAGAACTCCTGAAGCGGGTGGATCTCACGATAAGTGTTAAAATAACATAAGATGAAATAAAAATTTTAAAAAAGATGTGTGTGTACATATATAGTTTATGGATTCTTTTTTTAAAAAGCATTTGAAAGAAAAATACCATGTTTTCTGGGGCTTACAACATCCTATCGACTAAGTGCCAAGATCTAAAGAGTCTTGTTTTGCTACGGAGCTAGAAGCCTAAGAGATTTGCAGTTAGAACACGGAATTCAGCCAGGAGGAGCTGCTCACGGACTCCGCACACTGCGATTTAGTCTGGGGTGACCACAGAGCACGGTGCCCGAGGAGCGGGCTCCCCCACCGGTGCAGACCAGGGCAGCAGCAGCAGACGCCCCCCGTGTCCCGCCGGAAACACTCACCTTTAAGAGCATCCAGGAAATGCAGGTGAAGGGGGTGCTGGCCTCCAGGAGCAGTGTGGTCATCGCCAGATAGTGGCCAGCTTCCAGGTTGACCAAGGAGCCAAGAAAGCCAAGAAAGGCGAAGAGATGATGGGCCACCAAGAACAAGTCAAACGTGCGGAAGAGCGCGTTGGACAGGTGAACCGCTACATTTTCGAAGAAGAAGAACCCAGTTGCCGTGGCGATGTGGAACCAGCACCAGTTCTGCTGGCCACGCACCTTGTCGGCTTGCAGCACGGAGTCCACCAGCAGGGCCCACAGGCCTGCAGCCGTGCTCTGAATGCCAAACACGGCGCGCGTGGCCGCCAGGTCCCAGAAGACCTTCTCTCTGGCCACCAGAGAGCGGTACGTGGCGTTGAGGGAGGACGACAGCTGGTGGCAGACCACGAAGACGCCCAGGTAGAAGACGAAGCCGGCGACCGCCAGCGTGGAGCGGATCTTCCAGGACGTGTAGTCCAGGTCGAAGATGCTCTCTGCCGTGCCTCCATCGCTCACAGGAGTCATCCTCCTCGACTGAGTCTGCCGCGGGCGTCCCAGGCCCACGCCCCAGCTCTCCAAGAACGCAGAGTCGGTGTGGGTGCCTCTGGGGTCTGCATGCACCCGTCTGCCACCTGCAGAAGGACAGACGGGTCACTCCGCGTGGACCAGGCAGGAGCGAGCCCACAGCCCCGCTCCAGCAGGACAGACGCACTATGGTAATAAGGATTTCTAAAAACCTCTTCACCGTATCTGAAGGCACACGCACCACAAGAACACACCCACACCCGTTGGCGGTCCAGGACAAGGCCGGGAGAGGAGCCGGGAGCTAGAGCGGAGTGGAGTGGACAGGCCGTCCTGGACTCTGCCATGGGCCACCCGGGAGTCACGCTGTGGGCAGGCTCCACGGGGTAGCACGTGTTCAGACAATCACACAGCCGTGGGCTCTCGCCCGGAAACCGGAGACAGGAACACTGGCCTGGTCGTGCGCGGTCTGCAGGGCCACGTCCACGTGCTCCAGGCCCGCCACCCCCCGCGTCCCACGTGCTGGCTTCGGACCGACTGCAGCCCGGGTCACACATGGCAATCTCTGCGGTGCGCAGCAGACGCGGTGGTGAGAGCATGAGGATGCTCGTCACCTGTAGCCATCCGCCCTTAAAAAAACCACAGGAAAACCTGAGTCCCAGTTCCGGTCTGTTAACCCGCCAGGCAGCGTCAAGTCTGCCCTCAGTCCCCCGTCGGAAGCAAGTGCGGGGACTGGATCGGAGGGGCGAGGCCGCCGTGCATGCCCATCTGCGGACAGTGGGAATTACTGCTCCCCGGAGCTCCCCCGGACCCCCCGCCAGACCAGAGCATCGTCAGGGCCTTCTTGAGTCTCCAAGTAACTCGCTTCCAACCATGAAAACGATCCCCTGCGCCACAGACAGAAAAACATCAACGGAGCACGTCCCCGAGGGCCGTGGGTAGAGCTCATGGCTGCCCTGTTCCCAAAACTCGTGCTCTCCTACAACCAGGGGCTGCCTGTGGGCAGAGAAAACATCACGAACACACTTACCTATTCAAGAAACAAGTTCAATTGAAATAAGCCAATGACTTTCCTCTGTTAACAACGTAAAAACAAAAGTTCATCCTTTCATTGCCCAGAAATATAAACTATTTATTCTTTTCACAACCAACCCACTTCCTACGTAGGTTCGACAAAACTTGGGACATCACGGGAAAATGGACTTCAAACCTGATTTCCAGTACATTTAAGAAGTTTCTTGACTCCGCGTTAGAAGATGGTTGTCGTTTGGGTTCTTCTAGTTAGCAGGACAGAGTGGACTGTAGTCACCCCCGGAAGAACGCCGTACAGGTCTGTGCTCCTGCCCCGTTCAAGTCTGAGCCCTGTGCTCTCAGGACCAGACCACACCCCGCCCTGCACCCTGCTCCATGCTCCAGCCCTACTCAGCCTTCTAGTTCCTTTAAACCCACCTGCCTTATTACCTCTGGGCTTCGGCTCCCGCTGGGTCCTGTACCTGAGTCCATGCACCTGCCCCGCCTGTCAGCCCCTCTTACCTTTCAGATCTCGGCATCGGTGCCGTTTCTCCAGAAGCCATCTCAGACCAGAGGAAGTGCCACGGACTGCCCACCCTCTGTCCCCTCCACCGTTGTATCTAGACACGCACTCTGACTACTGCTGGGACCCCTAACCTCCCCCAGACCAGCAGCTCTCTGAGGCCAGGGCCATGCCCACCTGTCCATCACCTTGCCCCCACTGACGGATACAGCACCTGGCACAGAGGACCCACTCAAGAAGCACTTGTTGAACATATGCACAGATTTCAAATTACGCTCACACGGTCAAATTTATGTAAGTTTGGACGTGTTTTGTTTGTAAAACTGCAAACAGCAGTCTTGAGTCTTCCAAACAGACAAGGACGTCTGAAGCTCCCTATGTCAGACTTTCAGGGAGGGGACCCCCAGGATCAGGGGCTCACCAAGGGGCCTTGGAGGCCTGGCCAGCAGGTTCCCCCGGGTCCCGCCTGCCCCCCACACCCCACAGCTTTGCAGGGGCTCGTCGCACACGGCACTTCCTTGGGGAGCAGAGGACTCTGCCTCACATCTGGTGAAGGAAGAGCAGGCCTGCAGGGGAATCGGGCTGCCCACAGCAGACCTAAGACTCTCCATCCTTGGGGAGACACCACATCGAGCAGAGCGTCCAGCCACAAGCATTAAACCAGCTGTGAATCTGTGAATATTCAGTGAAAAGCAGCAAAATGGCTCTTCTGCCCAGACGGTTGCCATGACCAGTCAGGACACAGAACATACTAGCTCATTTAACCCAAACCATAAAGGAACCATTTCCAACCACTGAACTCTTGGATTTGATAACGGTCCTATAATCAAAGGCCAGTATCACAGAAGTGTTTGTTTTCCTATTTCTCAGTGAACACGACCTCTAAAGTAGGCTGGCTCTCTGTCAGTAGGAATCTGGCTCTGGGAGGAGAAAAGACGAGACCACACCCATTCGCTCCCTTTCTACCCAAGGCTCTGGGTCTGCCCCAGTGCATGTGCCCAGGAGTGCTCTGTACAGGACGGGACTGCAGGTGTCCAGCCGGCTGCTCCCATGGGTTCACAGGCATGTTCTCTCTTCCTCACACATCCCAGAACACTTGCGAGTTCATGTGCACACAGACCCAGTTTAACACCAGAGGACAGGCTGGAAAGAGCGCTTGGCTCTGGGTATCTGTGCACAGATGTGTGTGTGTTTCTCCCCCTCTGTGCTCTGACAACTTAAAAACCTCCCTGGCTGGGGAGACTGCCCGCCTAGGGCCAGCCCGCTCTTACGAGATAGCAAATCAGAGAACTAATCGATCAGAGCCTTGCCTCCCCCGTCTGTCCCCGCACCCAGGAGCAACATTCCTCTGCCTCTTGCCACCCCTATTGCCCAAAGCCCAGCAAAATTGTTCAAAGTCACCAGTCCTGGGGGCGCCTGGGTGGCTCAGTTGGTTAAGCGACTGCCTT